ATTAAAATTAGTCATAAATTTAAAAGTTGCGATAACTTTTTTTTTGGTCCAATACTTTTGACCGGGGAGTGTATATAGGATCAGAATATACCATATTTAATGATTTTAGCTATTAAGAGATTTATAGAGTTTATACTGCAATTTTTATCAATTTATAGCTGATTTAGCAAGATTATACTATACTAAATCCAAATTCATTTTTATTCGATTATAAGCATGTCAGGGATTATATAGGGCCATATATCGGGCTAAGCTAATTTTATATTTATATGCAGTTTGGCCATAGGCGCTGTGCATGATGTATAACTTGAAATGTCTTATAATTGCAAAAACATAGGTTTTTCGTTTGTGATGAAATTGAATAAATGATCAACAAATGATCTGCAAAATAATGTGATAATATGAAGATGTCCGCCCTGCTCTCCTAACCATTATTACGAAAATAGCACATCTAGATATAAAAGTACTGTAGAAATAGCACAGGATGTAGTTAAATCACAGGAGAAGTATAGGGATGACGTACTTACTGTGCACAGCCCCTATTTATTCGGCAAGAGTTTTTCCTGCGCATTTCAGGTAATCGATCTACCCTCTCCTATGACCATACTACGAACTATTTGAACAGGCACAGCTAAGACAATATTCGTTATTATGCATTCCATAATTGCTCAAATTTTGCTTTCTAGGTTTCGAAATCACATGCGCGTGGCAATTTGTCACGCCGATCACCTGTCAAGAAAAAAATATTTGAACATAAAATGCCTCTGGCCAAAAATACCATATATGAACGCTATTGCTGTGTATATGCGAAATCGGCGTATAATCATTCATTTCCCCAATACAGATATGCATACTGGTTAAAAATCAGTAGTCTGTTTAGCGAAACTTTATAATTTTATTGAATAATATAAATTTAGTCACATGATAATAATGCTACATTATTTCTAGAATAGCATACATAATATTAAACTAGCACTGTTCATATTGCAAGCTCGTCTATATCCTCTGGTTCAGGTTTTAGGTTATAGAAAAAGTAATTATCAGGTAAGAGCAACCAATCTCGTATCTTTCAGAATTATCAACTAGAGCGGAATACATTTTTCTCCGTAACTTCTCCTGATTAACAAACTCAGTTCGAATTGTCATGAAGAAATTAAATATTTTTGTATAGTAATGAATTGTATCAAATGAAAATGGAATCAAGTAAGAAACCAATTCAACAGCCAGAAACTTCTCTTTGCCTATGAGAGTGACTGAAAACAATGTAAGACGCTCACCAATGATTTGAATACTAAAGGTCTTGATTTCTTTAGCAATTTCAATACTGCAATCTAGGTTATTTCCAAATGTTCGGTAAAGGCTACATACAGATATCATTAACAACTTTTTCGCGTCTCCGACTGTGTGTTCTCATGTGATTTTAAAGGGAGGTTCTGAGACTTCAGTGTTCAGTATTTCTAGATTGTCTGACAAACGTATGATAAGTAGATCTGTCTTTCTTGGATTGATATCTTCTGCAAACATATTGTTTGCCTCTTTTATTGAGGCAACATTTTTTCGATCCAATCGTATTTAATATCTGGAAAAGCATTTCGAAATGCATAGAAGATAGGTGAAAGAAATTCCACAATATAGGTTCTTTCAGATATTTCACGGTCTAAAACTCTCGGCATTCTGTACCTAAAGTTAGCAACAAAATCTAGGAGTGCGTCCCTTATGAAGAAGTTGAACCTTGCTTCTTCTGCCAGGTTGTCACCGCTGATAACTGTTTCTGAAAAGATTTTTGATTCGATCCCTATGTAGTCTGTTTCAAATATCGCATCTAGCTTCTTAACCAAAGTTTCCTGCAAAATAAGTCGGTCTTTTGCTTGTAATAAATTTTTTACTTTTATGTAGACTCCTTCTTCAACAGTTTCTTTGATGTAATTTATTGTCGCGTTAAATGCACAAATGAGGTATGGTGAATATCTATCATACATGATTTTTGTTATGATTGGTTTTTGCAGTGTAAAAATTGAGGCTTGTTGAGTCGATTGGATAACTGAACGTGGAGTAGAAATAGTATTTAATGATGTCTGTTAAGTCGATTGGATAACTGGACATGGTGTACTTTCACGCGAAGTATCAATATTTTCTGAAGTTTCTAATGATGTCAGGGATTGTTAAGATGTGCTTGGAGTAATTTTATATGAAGTAGTATCTTCTAGACTTGGTGCCTCTGAAGTCTCTACTGATGAAAACTTATCCATACCGTCACAGTTCGCTTTTCTATGTGACCGTTTTGTTTGTTTCTTGATAGATTATAATCATTCATGAAAAAGTAAAAAAAAAATATAAAATTACTTACTCCCTTAGATTTCTCTATGTATTCTGAATCTGATGAATGATCTTCCTCTGAACTTTTAGTATAACATATTTTTTTTCTTTTTCTTGTCAGTCTCTTTCATATGAGAAAAGTCATAAATTAGTTTCAATGTAATTATTCTTTAAGTCTTAACTGGACTCACCTGCTTTGTTGTCTCTAAATGAGCTTCCATGGTCTCCTCTGCCATATTCTCCATCATATCTTGCGTCTTACTACTTATATTTAAATGGCATCGTTTCTGTATGAGAAAACTATTTAGTAAAACCTGAAGAATAATTATACAGCAGAAAAAATATACTTACTGTGCGCAAAGTTCTCTCTTGCTCTAGACATATAAGCTCGATCTCGTTCTAGAACTTGTTGACTTCCTCGTTATGCTGTCGATGATTTTTACCAAAAGAAAATGAAAACATTAAGAAATTTGTAATTCTTGAGATGTTGAATGGTGCTGATAAAAGAATATTTAGTTCGGACCACAACATTCATGTAGAATATTAGAGAAACGGCACGTAGAATGTCCTCATAGTTGTGAGAGTCATAAGTGACTTCTGAAGTTCCCATACACTACAACATTCACGTAGAATATTAGAGGAACGGCGCGTAGAACGTCCTCATAGTTGTAGAAGTCGCAAGCAACTTGGCAAAAACCTCATACCGCTTTGCAAAAAAAAAGATAAGTAAATTTCAAACCTTAAATGCTTCTAACAATTGTTTGGCCTTTGTTATTTATTTGAGGGATTCAAGGTTTTTCTTGAGTAAAACGATTCCTTTCTGAAAGAAAAAATGAAGTTGCTTTCATTACAGCAGTGATTGTAGTAATCAAGAAAGGCCCATGTATTGGAAGGTGTATCAAAATAATTTGTGACTTCTGTCATTTTTTTGGAAGGGAAAAAATTTTAGTCGTAGGGTTTATATATATCTCGAGAATTTATGCCTATTTTCCTATTTTGTATTATAATATGGCAGTAAGTCAACAAGGCCTTTTCACATTGCATCATATGTGTAATCGTTTACGATCACGAGCACTGACTTGCTAAAATAAATCAAAAATAATCGTTTGAGTGTACATCCTTCTATCACTTTTAGCAAATTTCGCAGTGTATTATGTTAATGGCTGGTCTTTAAACTCATTTTTAAACCTGTTGGTAAAGGACAATGTTTATCGGCAATTTAAACGTAAAATTACATATATAAGTTATTGATTATATGATTATAGGATATTAAACTTTTGGATGCTAGACAAACAAACTCCTTAATTTTTCGTATCCTTTCTGAAATGACAATTTCTAAGTTTTGGTCATACCATACCTCAATAAGGAAAATTCCATTATTAGACAAATGCATCGTTTTTGCCGATCACGATTAACAATGTCCTCAAGTTTTTTAACGTCTTTATACCAGCTGGTGCTATGAAACCGATGCTGGGCCCTTTGCACTTCCAATGCAATTCGATATTTTTGGAAGAAGGCATCAAGCTTTAATCCATTCAAGAAAGAAGGGCGATATTCAATTATAGGTTCCTCATTAAAGAATTTCCTTTGCTATCTGGATGCATCTAGTCTGAAATTTGCGATTTTTTTTAGATTCTGATTCTTTTTTAAGTTCATTGATATCACGTCTTAATTTTGCTAGTTTAGCTTTAAGCTCATAAATCTCAGCATCACACCTAGCATTTTTAGTAGCAGTATATGCTCTACTTTTTTCCAACTTCTCGATTCTGCTCTCAAGTTCTCCGACCCTAGACTTGAGTAAAGTTCCGGATAAGTCAAGTTAACTCACGAGTCAGATAAGCCGAGTCGAGTTCAAATCAAGTCGAGTTGGTGTTTTTTGACTCGATGATTTGCGAGTCAAGCCAAATTCGAGTCGAGTTAAATATTTAACTCGACTCGATTTAAAC